ATCTATCTATCTATCTATCTATCTATCTATCTATCTATCTATCTATCATAATATCTATCTGTCTCCATCCAGCCACCCATCTATTCATCTATTCATCATATCTGTCTATCTATCTATCTATCTATCTCCATCCATCCATCCATCCACCCACCTATCCATCCATCTATTCATCACATCTATCTATATCTATCTATCTATCCATCCACCCCTCCATCTATCAATCATATCTATCTATATCTAGCTGTCTGTCTATATCTATCTACCAATCCATCCACCTATCTATCCATCATATCTATCTATATCTATCTATATCTATCTATATCTATCCATCCATCTGTCCATCATATCTATATCTATCTATCTATATCCATCCACCCATCCATCCATCCATCTATCCATCATATCTATATCTATCCATCCATCCCTCTCTCTATTCATCATATCTATATCTATCCATCTATATCCATCCACCCATCTCTATTTATTATTTTTCTGTCTGCCTGTCCTTCTGTCTGCTATCATTTATCAATATCTGTCTATCCGTCATCTCTACTTGTCCATCTATCTATCTTTACCTGTCTTTCCTTCTATTTATCCGTCCTCAACTCTTATCTTACCTATCGATCGGTCTATCATCCATCTTTCTACCTAGCCATTCATCTGACCAAGGAGCAGATGGGAAGAAGAGGCCCCTCCTTGTCGCTCCCTCCCGTTCTTGGCTCCGCTCAAACAGAATCCCAGAGAAACTCAGTTTGTCTCTTCTCTCTTCTCCCTCGTGCAGATGGTGGTTTCCAGGGTGGCTCGTGTTTGCAAGAACGACATGGGCGGCTCTCAGAGGGTCTTGGAGAAGCAGTGGACGTCCTTCCTCAAGGCTCGTCTGAATTGCTCCGTCCCAGGAGATTATCACTTCTACTTCAACGTCATCCAGTCGGTCACAGATATTTTGGAGATCGAGGGAAGGCCGATGGTGCTGGCCATCTTCTCCACGCCCACCAACAGGTGAGCCGGGCGGTTGAGGTGGGAACCGGGAGTCTCCAAACTGGGCAACTTTAAAACTTGTGGACTTTAATTCCCACAATTCCCCAGACAGTCCCGCTATTTATATTTAGTCCAGTCTAGTGAAAAGGAGGCATGAGAGCCGTCTTCCAATATTTGAGGGGCTGCCACAGAGAGGAGGGAAGGGGTCAAGCTATTTTCCAAGGCACCTGAAGGCCAGACAAGGAACAATGGATGGAAACTAACCAAGGAGAGAAGCAACCTAGAATTAAAGAGGAATTTCCTGACAGTGAGAACAATTAATCAGTGGAATAGCTTGCCTCCAGAAATTGTGGGTGCTGCAGAAGAGAAGAATACAATACAATAGAATACAATACAATAGAATACAATACAATAGAA